AAGTTTATACTGTGTTATGAAAATCTTATATTTCGTCATTGACTAACTTGCATTACTGACATCCCAGTCCTATGGCGGACGTGCACATTTAAAAAAAGTTAGATTCACAGATTAACTCTCTTTAATCTGAGGTAGATTTAATGAACTACATTATTCATTTTCCGTATCCTCGCTCCGTTTCGGAGAATGGATAATACAACTGGGCCTAGTTTGCACCATGAAGCGAATAATGAATACTCCCGTGTACCGGTATGCAACAATGGTTGGCTTGGAAAGAGAGTGAGGAAGAGAGGGTGCGTGTGTGAGAGATAGCCAGCTGCTTTAGTGCGATCAGCTGATTTTCGTATGTGGAGGGGGAATTCCCTGCCTCTCCAACCTTCTAATCATATCACACTGACTTTAGACCACTTAACTTATTAGACTGACTATATAGTGACTATATACATAGTGACACAGTCACAATACCTTGTGCAAAACTACAACTATAAGTGGTTATTATTTTAATTCAAATAAGAATAAAGTAGGTAGTCAGTGCTCCTGAAAATTCTGATATTTCAGAACATTCCTAGATTTAGTGAAATCCACTTTAACACGATTCGAAACATTGTCACCAAATCTTACAAGCCCGGTATTTGAACTTACACCAAATATTTGTGTGTGACTGTGACAATATTCTGGATTCCAATATCCCAATATATTTATCAAACAATCACTATCAATTATGTAAGATGGGGGCGCCAGTATGTGCGTATTTAACCCAAATATGAGTGAAGGATGAGTGGCGCGATCTTCTTGTTATTGCCTTAAGACCGACATGTTCCTTAGACACAGCTGTTAATTAATAGCCCATACAGGCAATGGTAACTAAGAGACCTGCAGTTTATAGTGGAATCCGAACCACTTGCCTTGTAATTAACGAATTGGTCGAATTTTCAGGATACTGCGGGTAGTCGTAGTACATACTCAATAGCGCGGACGTTAATCCACACCAGGGAGTATTTAATAGTTTACCATTCGTTTGTTTATAAAATAGTAGACTATATTTAATTCATACAGTTCTGGGAAATGACTATTGTTTAAAGAGCTTTTTTAGTATATACATGATGATCAACATTGTTCTTCATAACACTAAAATATATTTATGTAGATTGGTTTTCCTATGGATATTCTTGGCTCACGCTTATAGAACATAATTTTGGTACGAAACATAGGGGACATGAAAAGTAGTGATGAAAATAAAAATAACTATGTGGCGTTTGCAGAAGCATCCACAAAATTGAGCTCATCAGGGTTAGTTTCATATTGTTATTGACATTCTCCATCAAGCTTCATCATTATTTTTACCTAAAATTTTTAGTGGACAACATTTGTGTAGAAATATTGGGGTAATTAGATTAGCTACACAGTGTCTCGTAGTGAATGGAATAAACACAGAGATGTCGTTTTAGGCCTTTTCGGAGACTTCCTGGGTTAGCCTTCAACTTTTTCTCAAACAGGGCGGTACAGTTCCAGCTACTGTATACATAAGAGTCGACGAATAAGAGCTTCGCTCGCTCCGCTCAATTAACTGTCCTAGGTGTGTGTTGAAACACAACACAAGCGTTGAAAGTATAACACTTAAGTATAAATAAGTATAATTATTTAATCATCGGCCACACTGCGTTAAATATTTACAGTATGTACTCAGCTCCTTCACAAAACTAACATCTCAAACTGTTAAACGTTCAATTTCAAAATACTGGACTGTTTCATTGTAGAGTATTTGCTGTAACTTGAACTACGATTTGTATATCGAACAATATAAAGTATTGATTTTTCAATTACAAATGACCAGCAATATAGTTGACTTAACAACTCTGCTATGCACATAATTTTCTGTCATGTTGAATTTGTTAATCGTGTTTTTGTGTATCGAGTTTTATAATTAATTATATATATCAAGTATTGTTTGTGTCCACTGTTTGTCAGCAGGGAAATTAATTTTTACTAGGAATATACAAAAAAATCTTATAATCTGTATACTCAAGTTGTATTTCAAAATAATAAACTTTGTATTTAATTTTAATTCCATTTATCAGACAAACATTGTTATGTACTTATTGGTTCATTCAATATTTTAAGTATAATATGACTGATCAGATTACTATAATTATTAACATATTCTATAATGTTCACAAATATTTCACAATAACAAATAAATCTGAAAATGTTATTGTGTTGTTATACTCTCCCCTTACACAATATTTCCCCCGCATGGCCCCCACGAGGGTGGGGCTGGTGTAACTCTGGTCACAGGGCCCGGGCCGTCAGGGGGCCCGGGCCCACCCGTTTTTTTGTTTGTTTTTTCCATCGAATATTACTTTACAGCAGATCATGAATTGAAGATAAAAAATAATATATATATTTTACAAAAAACAAAGTTAAATAATTTAAAATGTATTAATTCTAGATTCTAGGCTAGTTAATATTTAAATACTATAGGTGCGTATGTATGTAATGTACAGCTGAACAGCCAGCTATCTAGGTTTATTTGACACAAACTAAAAATTCTGTACTTTTGGAGTTTAAAAATATGAGATTGTAATAATTTTGACCTAAGTTTTCTTCCCAATTCGCTCGGTATAGTACTGTACTACAGTATGGATTGGATATCATCGGCATCAACAACATAGGTCATTCTCGGCGTTACTCGTGCACATTCGTTTTTCTCAGTGACTAATCGCGCAAGTTCGGCAGCTCAGGCATCCACTCCCATAAAATGTAGTATTGTCAAAATTCTTGATGAAAATTGTCACTGAATAAAATATGATTTCATTGGTGGTTACGAAAGTTTTTTTCCTACTCCATACTACAAAGTACAATTATAACACTTAAGATAGCCAAACTATTTTACAGGGAAATAAAAAAGACAAAATATTAATAGGCATGTAGCTTTTGTGTATTGATATAATAGTTTTAATTGCTGAATTCCTGTAGTTTTAAGTTTTATAAACTCATTGAAGAACTGTTTTTCTTCCTTAAAAAAGACTACAAATGTGCCATTTACCACTCACAAATTTAATACCTAGATTGCCTTAAAAACTCACTAAAATACATGACATTGTCAAAATTTTACTGGGGGAGGACCCAGTAGGGTATTCCATACCCCCCACACCCCCCGGTTGGTAGGGGGGCCCGAGCCAGATCCTGGTAACAGGGCCCACGATTCCCGTAGTACGATATTTGTCGTAGTGAGAAATTCAAATACTATTTATGAAAGTCACATTTAATTCTCGCGAGTAATGTATTTTGTAATTTACATTATGAATAACTGTGCTTTGTCCAAGCCAAAATCTATATAAAACAGTTTCAGTCCTACCAGTCGACGCCACAGCTGAGCTGACTGCAGTGCAGGGGTGGGAGTCGGTTATTTCCGTCTCCACTGCTGACTGTATAGTTTAGTTGCATCGTAGGCAGCGGCGCCGTTTTGAAATGTCTAGAGAGGTGCGAGAGAGAGGACTAGATGCCGGTGACGTGAGAGTGAGGGAGAGAGCATACAACACATGGTGGGGTGGCGGGCATTTCCCCTCCATTTCGTCGCTAGCCGCCATCGAACCGTGTTCCTGCGGGTGACCATTTTATCACCCCCACAGTGTTGACAAAATATCGGTTCAATATCGTTTGTAGTCATATCGACCATCACTTGCTATCGATTATCGATTAAAACACACTAAAAGGACTTGTGAAAATAAACAAAAATTATGAATTATTAATATTTAATTTAATACTAACGCCGGAATGTTAGTCTGCCTTTTATCCCTATTAACTTATTTAACTTAAATAACGCGTCTTGGGTATACCTAACCTTTTAAAATAATGATTTGACAACTAAGAATCTTTTGACCTTAAACACCAAGTAGGAAGCAAAATACGACGGGGTAGTTTGACTCGAAACTCAAGAGAAGGAACTATTTATTGTGTTGTACCAGTCCTCTTTTACACCCTTACCCACAAGCTAGCTAAAATAAAGCAAGTGAAAGTCTGTATCACATTACTAGGCTACTTTTGTCTTTTCGTAGTAGCAGCCTATTATTTTAAAGCATTTTCCAGCCACAAGGGTGATTAATATATTGCATATTTCAATAATTCACACGCTGGCTGGAACGAACCTGATAAAACTGATAATTACCTATCATTATTGTTATATATTAGTTCATAGAAAGTTTTATAGTTAAAACCGTTTACGATAGGCCTATACGTTCTAATGAACCATCTCGGTGTTTATTTAATTAGGCCTAACTTGCTTCAATTATTTATTTGGCCTTTAAGCAATGCAATAGGCTATGTCACTCTCGATACAAAATAAATAATAAATAGTCCATCTTGACTCAAAAATGTGCTAAATAAATATTTCGATACACAACAGTGTCAGATGTAGGACCTCACTAACTGAACAATCCCACCCAACAGCAAAGTGAATATACACACATAACAATTCAGAATCATAAGTCATATATTTTGGATGTGCTAATAATAACTTAGGCTAGCCCAAGAAATATTTTTTATGATAGGTGTGCAATTTAGGAGGCGAGGATTGGCTTTGGCTTTGCTCTTGCTTGGCTTGGCGGGACATCAGCAGAAAACGGTCCCGATGGTTGGTTGTCAACGTTGATCACTGGTTTGGTTATCGAAAACGATCTGTTCGGTCGGTTTACAATCGATTGGTCGATATGGCTACGAAAAAATGTCAACACTGTGTTGGTGATAAAATGGGCACCGTTCCTGCGACGGCGCGAAATGTTACCCTCTCCCTTCTTTGTCCGGGTCTCGACTCTCGAGTCAGAGTCACAATTTTAGTTCGTTAGGAGAATCGAGAGAATTATACTTAGTTTTATCATCGAGTATATTTAGTATTCCAGCGTAGTGTTACTGTTTCGAAAGTGTTATTAGTTATTGTTTGTGTAGTGTGACTGTGACTGTACCCCCTCCATCTTGCTAGTAGTGCGCGCAGTGATCGTTGGTGGCCATGACTGTATGGAAGTAGTCGGTCCTCGCTAGTCGATAAAGTCAACTTAGGCATTGGAAATGGGGACTTCCTTTTCTTAGCTTTCTTGTAGTTTCAAATCAAGTAATTTTCCCCCGAGGAATGTAGCCTAAGAACTGTTATTAATTGACTGCGAATACAATTAGGCCTGATTCTGTTTAATGCACAGTTTACCGGACTAGAGACCGTATCAAAAATACTGTGCTGATTAATTGCAGATAAATCACAAAAATAAAATGCTCTAAAGTTATAGTAGGCCATAGAAAAATAACGTCACATTCATTTTACATGTTTTTATAAGTCTAAAGAGATACATGCTTAGCGACTTGTTTCAATTGTGATAGGCCTACTAAACTCACAACTTCAGTTGTTCAGTGTTATCACACTACGAATAAATATTTTACGGTCTAATACCTTACACAATGCCATACAAGTGCGTCGTCCCCGGTTGCCGTAGCAACTACTACCACGTCAAGGGTACCCAGTCCGTCCCCATGATGCGGTACGCTAGTGACCCGGAGATGGTCCAGGCGTGGAACAAGGCGATATGTCGTCCCGGGTTCGAGCCTTCTCCGTACTCGCACGTATGCATTAAACACTTCCGCGAAGACCAGCTGTGCCGTAAGCCAGAGCCAAAGTATTTAGAGGGTGGTGGAGCCCAGGCGATATTGTGGGGTCGACGGACGACCAAGTTGAAGAGTGGCGCGATACCTTGTATCTTCGAGAAGGACCCCAGCACCCATAAGATGAAGCCTATCTACGAACGGAACCGATCTCACAAAAAACCCGTCCATAAACAACCGAAGGGATCCAAAGTCCCGACGATTATGAAGGTCAGGCATATTCAGTAAAATCTTATTTTTAAAACTATGTAGGATCTTTATGGTGTATTTTAACTATCAAGTATGTACTGTTCTCCAGTCATATATTAAAAGCTGAAATCTGTTACTTTATATTTTGTATATGCTTACGGCTTAGTTTAATCTTTGAAAACGCATCTCTCTTTAGATTTCCCGAAAATGTATGATGTTTATTTTGTTACTGCATATATCGATACACACATTGTAAATAAACAATTATTTTCTTCTTCTTATGTGGTGACTTGGTAATTGTGTGACTTTGTGGAGTGTAGGGGAGGGGTGGGGGTGGCAATGGCAACAATGAGGGACGACTATCTCGTGCAGTGTTGCAGCCACCTGCCGCTTGAGGGATGTGTTGTTGTTGTTGGTATACAAGAATTATTGCTAATTTGAATTGACCAAATATTTCCATACATACAACTTACTAGGCCTAGCGTGTTTTGATAATGTACTAACCAATGCATACTTTTAAAACAAAGGGTGAATTTTTAAAGCAAACTGGAGGGATAAGTCGGAAGTCACGACTAGCGGGATTGTATTGTGTGGAAGTGGTGGTGCTGACGGGTATTTTTTCTTATCTTGTTGTTTCATTCTGTGTAAGAACTATAGTTATTTGTCATTTGTGTAACTAGTGTCAAAGTGACATTTTATTTTTGCTGCACACGAGAGAAATGTTTACCCGCACTCGCCTGCAGCTTGTGCGGAATGAATCTCGAGTGCAGCAAAGGCAATTTGCGCTCGTGTTACGCATTATATTTTTCCTACAGTCACTATAAAGCAGATAAATAATTAGTCTTTGAAACACTATACAACACGTTTTTAGGTTACTGACCAGGTTTATGGGTCATAACGTCATAACAGGTACACTCATCTCATAAGTCATTAACTAAGTTTGACTTTGTTAAAAATATAGTTGTATTGATAGTAGAGGTAATTGTATTCATCAGTGGTGACTGGTGAAAAATAATTATTTTTGGATTTAGGAGGCTATAAACTAAGAGATCAAAATAAATAATTTATTTGGTGGCGCATATTTAAATAAATACCATCAAAAATCGATGTCATATCGTGTGGTATGACAAAATGTAAAACAATACTTGAAAGAATGACATAATTATATTTCTCAATGGCACCTTACTTTATTGTCAATAATAAGGAAATGTAAAATTAGTTGCTAACATTTATGTAAGTTAAATAGATTTTAGCCTAATTAATAAAACTTTACCGATTTTTTATCATTGTTTGACATTATTCATCCTGTGTCTCTTAGTTATTTAGGCCTACCTTTTAGAAAACTAAATGGTAGCGTTAATTCCATTATCAATACTTTGAAGAAGTATAATGTGATGAAAATATTTGTATTGGGCTAGGAATTTTTTTTTAAATAGGCAAGTTATTCTCATTGAAATGGAAATAGTTATTTGTGTAACTAGTGTGTGAAATGGCACTTTGCTGCACGAGGCCTAGTCCACACATGGAGACTGAGTCGGCCGACTGAGCACGGACAGTCGACAGACAGTCAGCCGACAGTTTGTCAACACAGTTTCGGATACAAGTTTCTGATGTGTTTTGCGTCCACATTAGTCAGTCAGTGTTTCTGTGTTTGTTGGTATGGCGATGACTTTTCCGTGACCGCGGGAGATGTTAATGATTTTGCCGCGATCGCGCAAGACGACGAAGACGTTTTCATGACCACGTGAGAGAATGATGATGTCTACACGGCCGCGGGAGATAATCAGAATTTTGCCGCGATCGCGGAAGACCTCCCGTCTAAAGACGCCGGATTATTGGAGTGCCGGAGTGGTGCAGTGCCGGATTAGAGAGGGTCTCCTGTATATTATTTCAACTAGATCTACAATCTGAAAAAATTGATACTTGGAGATAAAAGTATTTTCACTATTAACTTTTCTTTCAGGTGGAGTTTAAGCCGGAAATGTGGGAAGAAGAGGAGAAAAAAACCGATTTGCCAATAAAGAGAGGAAGAGGAAGACCGAGAAAAACACCAAAGCTTGATGGTGCTCTGGATAAAAGGTTTGTTTGCACATATGGTTATAGATTAATTGTGAAAAAAATAACATTTATAAAATTGTGTGCTCCATGGCAGGTTTGTGATAAACCAAACTTTCAAGTATATAATTTTTACTGATATAACATACATTTTAATTATGTGTAGACAATTCAAAAAATCATACAAAGTTGGCTAAACATTTTGCAAGTCTTGAGTTCTTCCTTCTAACATCTACCCACTGTTTTAAGCAATTAGAGTATTTTTTTATATTTTGCAAGTTGCAGTAATATTTGTTGGATTAACTTTGGTTTCTTTGGTATTTTACATCAGTTACAATAGGAAAGACAATAATTTTACAAAACTAGTTAACATTATAATTTAAGTAATTTTTCTTATAATTTATTAACCCTTAGTCTCTGATTTCAAAACACGATCATTGACACACAGAGTTTTTTTCCGGCGTCAAAACAATGATTTTTAAACATATATTTTTACAATAACTTATTTAAAAATTATACATAAAGCAATTAAAACGCTTACTTTACATATTTATAAAATAACATATATCTAGCAAACAAAAACAACACAATCGGTGACACACTGGGTTTTTTTCGGGTTTTGAAACATTAGTGACAAACAATTTTTTTTACCAATATTTATTCAAAAACATGTTAAAAAAATTTTATAATCAATACAATTTTACATGAAATCAACAAAAACTCTTACTTTACCTATTTATAAAAAAATATATGTATAGCAAACAAAACAAAAACAACATCGGTGACTCACGGAGCCGGGCTTTGTTCTACGTGACGCTTCGGGCTTTAACTGATTAAATAGGGGAGGTGTGGGATCAAAAAAATGTTCAGTCGGTTCCTAGAAAGACGCGTGAGGTACTGTTACTCCTAAAGCTGCCAGCTGGCGATGATATCACAAATTTTTCTATAAAAACAAATTAAGCTCTGAGGAAAACTCTGTGGTGTCACTGACGGAGGATTAACTGACAACTGCACACAGCTTAATCTGTGGATCCCACTCTCATAGCTTTGATTATTTCTACTCCGATGCTCATAGCTATAGGCTACTGTAATTCTCTCAGCTACAATTGCCTGAATTTGCAATAGCATAGCTCACAATACCTTTGGACATATTGGACAGTTGTAATTTCTCTCAGAGTTCTGAAACATTTTTAAAGCGTTTTTGAACCTACAGGATTTTAAGTGTTTAAACTCATTTATTCTGATGAGTTTATACTTGTCCTAAGCTCCGATGAATAACAATTTTCATCAATGGCATGAATAAGTAACTTATAGCCTACCCCAATATACCGTGCAGTTTACTTTTAGTAACATTTTATTTTATTGTGTGATATAATATGTTCATTATTTTGATTGAGAAACCATTTACACTATGCTATGCTAATATTACAGAAAACATTACGGTTTTAAGCTTCTGTCATAGTAGAAGTCTGGTGAAAATACCAGTTTTTTTTCTATACTAAATGAATCAAATATAACTAATAACTGAAGAGAAATTAATTTTTGGATGTCAGAGAGTTTTTTTTAACACTTTCCTACCTAAGAAATATTTTGGAATTCCTTTGGAGCTCTGCGATTTGTTTAAAACATCGTCAGATCTCTGCAAGAATGACTCAATCTTCATAACTATGACATTGTTTCAGTAAGACACAAAAAAGACACAGTTTTTCTAGAATGATGTAGGTACAAGAAATGTACCTCGTCAAGAGTAATGACATTCATTCATACAATCTTCTAAGGGTTGAATATTTTGGATTACAATCTAATTGAATTGAAGTGCATAAATTTAAACAATTTGTGTTAGTTTCAGTGAAGTGGTGTCATGCTGTGCTCTTGCCTGTCCCAACACATCAGAGAACCATACCATGATCACCCTGCCGCAGGATGAGTCGTCTCGTAAGCACTGGGTTGATAAGATAGATCGGCTGGACTGGAGTCCTGATGAAGACGCTGCTTTGTGTGAGGTAGCCTATTACTCATTTCTGTTTTAAAATATAGCTTGTTAGGGTATAACCTATTTTTATAATTTCTTTACAATAGTAATATGATAAAAAGATAGGGCATTTGCCAGGAATTATTAAGGAAATTTACAGGTAAGCCTGCCTCCTGAAGTAGAAATTTTTTAGAAGGTTGAAAAAGTGGTCAGTGGCCACGAAAATTTCTACTTCTACTTTGTGATGTTTTATATGTGTCTCTATGGACTTATTTAAAGTTAAACCTGCTTTCCTGTCAATTTCCTTTACGATAGTAATGTTCATTTGGTTACAGTACATGTTGCTTATTAAATCTATGAGTAGTGGTTAAAGCAGTGCTCTCCTTCAAACCTCAAGGTCGCTTTAGATTAAAGCAAGATCATTACTTGGTCCAGATGCCATTTTTCATTGGGTTGTCAAATAATGAACAAAAAGGTAGGTGTTAGATGGTAACAAGACCAGCGATAAGCCCCCCATACACAGTCCGACATGTCCGGTCTGTCAGATCTGTAAGTCTGGCTGTTACCACACATGATTCGACCCGTTTTCTGACGGAGTAATCTTTGTTTAACTTTGGTTTTACTTGGTCAGCATCGGGCCTTCACACTTCAATTTGGACAAAAAGGCTGAAAGAGAGATCACACTTTCATGTGGTTCCTTTGTCTTGAAGATGACAACCCTCCTCACAACCGACGTTCATACACTTCATAACTCACGTTGGTAACAGGACCAAAGGCTAAAAATAATTTTCATAGTAACATCTATTGTAGCTTCCTTTTCAATTTCCAGGAGTTTTTCTAACAAACTACCCAATTTCTCTAGTCTCAAGAGTTTGTTGCTTTACTGTTTACTAGGAGAATGTCTCACAAGCACAGCATACTCCTGTATAATCTATGAACTCCCCCCCAAAACCTTTTGTTATCACCACACATTTTGAAGCGTGTTTAGTGTATGACGTCCACAAAACCACTGCAGTGAATCCTCGACCGACCGCAGACTTGTCTGCGGATCCAGTCTTTTTTTACCCACACACGGTCCGCAATCTGAGTCAGATGAGTCAGCAGACATGTCTGCCTCTGCCAACATGTTGGATGTGTATGGTGGGGGGGGGGGGCAAGGGCGTACCCAGGATCAAAACAAGGGGGGGGGGCAAGAGCGTACTTGAAACAGGGGTCGCTGGGGGTAACCCACCGGGGGGCCAGTTCGGAGGGGGGTCCAGGGGTTCCCTCCCGGGAAAATGTTAAAAAAACAACATGCTGAAATTAGCGTTTTTTACGCTATTTTGAGACATTAATATAATAAACCTAGCTCTATAATCCAGCATTTATAAAGTGGCTTTATGTCCGTCAATGAGGTCAGGTCAGGTTGCTTAGCTTTACAATACACATTTAACTGTACTTTTTGTGTCCATGCCAACTTTTCACATCCATTTATAACACAACACCCGAAATATATGGTAAACTATTTTGAAGAATACCTGATAACTTATGCCTTAAGAGTAATTTTGTTCTTTACATTATTGTTGAAGGCAAATGAAAACAAAATAATGTCATAAAAATAGGTTTATATCATACTACACAAATTTGTTAGTTTATAGATTGCAAGAAATTGGTCTGTTTTATTACTACTGTTGGAATTTTTATTTTATTTAAGATTAACTCAGAAACTAATGAAAAATTGATAACGTGTCAAAAAATTTCATAAAAAATCTATAAACTATCTTACTCATCTTTTCTCATACTAATAACATTTATCATGGATCTCAATTTTTATACCTTATCCTGGCTTCTAGGGGTGGGGGAGGGCAGCGGCTCCCCCCTCTCTGGGTATGCCTATGGGGAGGGGGGGGCTTTAGTATTGTTCCATTTCAAAAAACCTTTAAAAATGCTAATGGTGTAGTTAGATCACATAAATAAAATATATTTCAAAAGCAAAATATGAACCTAGTTCCAACATGCTCCCTTACAGGTTTATTAACAATATGTTACAGCATCTAACAGAGAAGGGTGATCCACTTTGCCTGAAATTTGTTTGAGTTACCTCTTTCAAACATGCCACAAGACTAGAAAATGAAAAAAATGAGGTTCAACTATTTTCCCCAACAAAATCAGGATCTAGAGGCAAATATGCTCAATAAGAGGTCACAAAATGAAACACTGATATTTTGACCATATTGTTCTTCTTCAGGGAAAAAAGTTCTTAAAGTTTTTTGAAAAATTTTTACATTTATTTGGAGAAAATATGATATATTGCTAACAAAATTCAATATTTTCATTGATTTCTCACTTTTTATTTTGAAACCTAGGTTCATTTTGAGGAAGATATGTGGGACAAAGACTCTGAAGCCAAGAAACTCCTCCCAGAAGCGGTTCCTTCCTTGTTCCTGCACGGGGAAGCCATCAAGTCGTGGGTCACATTGGACAACACAGGCAACATTGCGGATATGGTTGTGGAGTAAGTTTATAACAAGTGCACTTAATATGTTACTCGTACATGGTTATTTTTTTTAAGTAAGGGCTGTTTTTGCGAATGAGTCTGTAGTTCACTTGTACGCCGCAACATGGCTTCTCACGACTCACTGGCATAATTGTGACGGAATGAAGCAATTTTCAGCTCTTTGTGTTACATCTATCATGTACGCTTCACTGTGTGTTTACACAAATTTTTTAACTATCGATCGAATCTGCCGCCTTGTGCAAGCTATGGTTTGTGATACACTTTTTGATTACAAAGAAACATATCCGATGCCGAAATTCATCGCCAGATGACTGAAGGCTATGGTCCTAATGCAATGAGTGAGGATAAAGGGCGGAAATCGGTTATGGAGTGTAAACATGGCTGTGAATTCCTTTTACCTTTCTGGCCTTCTGTGAGAAGTCTGGGTAACCCACCAAAAACACGATATCAATTCGGAGTAGGTCTAACGTGCGAGGGGAGTAACGGGACATCCCTGTATGCTGTTTACTCATATTTCCTTTAATTTTCCAAGTTCTGACTGTATCAACTTGAATGTGGTGTTGCTTAGATTAAACAATAAGTCGAATACATTTTACTAGATGCTTACGACTACATTTTACAACATATATTTTGTTCACCTTTCCCAGTAATAGGTTTCATGGTTCTTTATTGAACTAACAATAAGGCATATTGTGTTATTGTTCTAATAAAAACTAGAGAAATTCACCAGTTTTCACTATCGTAATCGGAGGCTATAACATCTACATGAAGTTGAAGCTATTGCTTTGGAAATAGTCAAGTACCTATATTTAGACATAGGTAAAACTACAATATGGGAACTACTCGATCCCACTCGGCTCACAACCCTTGTCCCTAAGTTTCCTTGTCCCCATCTTTCCAGACACCGTAAATCCAATCAGGCAAATGGAAAATCACTTAGTCTGCAGGTTTGCTGCGGCGGGGGTATTTAACTATTTGATCACATATTGAAATAAAGTTGATGAAATTAAAAGTAGTGTATAACATTTATACTAATTATATTACCGCATATAGATAATTCTATGTATTAAGATGAATGTACTAAAAATCCAAAAATTATCTCTATTTTTAGATATGCTTTGGCTAGATTACTTTGTTTTGATGTTATCATTTTATAACAAGTTTCTTTTTCTATGTTTAGGAGACACAGCACCAATGATGAAGACAGCGCCCATGGTGGGAGCAATTATGATAATAATGAGGTAAGCAAAGATTTTCTCCCCAGATTGTATCATAAAAAATTTAGAAGGTAACTTATTCTAACTGTACCTAACTAGAAATTACCCCTATGACTACTAGAAATACTGTATATATGAATTTTAAAGGATGGTTTTTTTTCGGCTTCTGGGGACACCAAAAGGAGGAAGTAAATCAGAACCAGAATCCAGTGGCGGCGATAGCTGGCCCGCAGGGCCCGAGGTGCGGGGGGGCCCGTGAGCCTTGACCAGGATTTTCGGTAAATTTTACCGGGACACGGGCCCGTGATTGTGCGACAGGCTCAGCTACACAGGTCCCCTAGCATAATAATATTTATATGAGAATTACCATTTTTTTATGACGAAAATTTGTTCAACCCAGCAAGCAGAGCACGAGGACAAGTAGTTTAACGTTTACAACAACTGACACTATTACTTGACCGATCGTTTTAAATTCTCTACCAACCTAAAAAGAATTGTCAACAGTCATGCAGGTTGCATCAACTGTCCTCGTGGACTGTGTGAAGGCGCTATAATAAGGCCGTATTTATAACCAATGTGGCATCCAGCCTAGGAGGATAATCTTGTATCGATAATCTTGTGTTGAGAATCTCTATTGTAATAGTATAAATAGCCTTCTTTTTATGGTAAAAAATTGTAGAAATAAGTTAGAAAACAGTTTAAGTTATAATAAAGAATCACTTTTCGACACTGTTCAATGTACTGTAAATATGTACTAAAAGAATAAAGATTGTTTGAAATGAAATGAAATGAAATAAACCATTAAATGAACCATTAAATAAATCCCCCTAGCCCCCGGCAGGTCACACCAGAGAGGGCCCTCTATGCTGATTCAACTAAATGAACTTGAAAATTTTTTACGACCAAATCGGCAAATTAACTTAGGTGGCTAGGGAACTAGCTAATAAATAATTTCGTTCTTTCATTGATGCTAAAGAAGGATTTGTATTTCATTTCTTTTCTTAATACAGTATTAGGAGGCTGTCCTTTATATTTGTTTACTTCAACTCAGGTAAAAAAGTTACTTTCCTACAAGTCTCAGGCCTAATCAGATCGTTTCAAAATCGGTTTGCTTTGAAAACGGGTTGATTTTTATAATATTAAACGGTATAATGTCACTTTTCAGCCGATCAGAGCCCTGGCCTACAAGCTTGAGAGATCAAGCACAAAGTCAGAAAATCAAGCTCGAGCCGATTTTTTCAGTACTAAATACAATAATGCCCAATTAAAATTAAAAGGTTTTATGTCCGCGAGGATCACGCTCACGAAATTGAAATGTCAGGCCTACGATTTTGCCGCGATCGCAGATATCGACGAGAACATTCCCCCGCGGGTAACAATGACGATGTCTCCTAGGCCGCAGGTGATGTTCAATATTTTGCCGTAATTGCGGGATACGATAATGACGTTTCTTTTTCATAGAGAGATATATATCTAGGATTTTGCCGCGATTGCGGAAAAACTGATTTCCCTGTCATCACCGACGGGTCACGGGAGGTAGGCCCTACTGGGCCGTGAACGCAAATTTTTTTTTAGCTCTGACTAATTTTGCCCTATATTTAAGTTTGTTTTGTTTCAACTCGTATTTCAAGGCAGGATTTTTGTTCCTACGAAGTTTTAAGTCCAATCGTAGTAGTTCTTTTTTTCATTTTTCAGGTCTTCTGAGATCCAATTTTGTTTGCGTTTCTTTTCAGTTACAGTAATTTTGGGAAACGAAATGTAAAAAAAATGCTTAAATGTACAATAAAATTCATCATATTTTCTTTCAACAGCAGCCATGTAAACACTCTCCCGAATCTCAGTTTCAAGAGGTTTTTAAATAAATTCAAATTTTGAATATTGAAATATATTTATATAGTTGGTCCTATGTTAAAAATAGGTTGGTTGGCCAACCGTAAGTGGTTGGCGAGGCAACACTAATGGTGTGTGGTTTTACAGGAGTCTATGGATTGTTCAGAACCAGATGAGAGTGCATCGATATTTGTTAAACGTGAAGCTTTAGAGCCAGAAATTGTAAGTTTCAAATAAATATTTGAATGTTGGTACTTAGGTTTGCATGCTATCAAAACTAATCTATGATCTATTAAGACTCGTATATCTGGTAAATTTTTTAATATAAAGAACAACGGGCTTAGGTTTTTAATGATTTTTGTTTTAATATAAAGTTTACCAAATGAGGAAAGAGTCCATCATGGAATTGGAAAAACAACAATTTTACACTTTAAAGAGGAAACCTGAAAATTAATTATTGGCACTGCTACAGTGGTTGCCACCCTGAGGGAATTTTAAGTTTTATAAGATTTAAGTTGGCCAAACTGCTTCCTCTGCCAATTTGCCATGGTGTAGGTAGAGTTTCCACATGATTTGAGTAGGTGGAATCCGAACCACATTCTTGCCTTGGTATTAACAAATTGGTCTAATTATCAGGATAGTACTGTGGATAGTCGTAGTGCCCACTAGTGTGGACGTTAATCCACACCAGGGAGTATCGCATCCACAGTGCATCTCTATAAATATCCACAATTTGTGACCTCCTAGTAGCTGGATTACAGGACGACTCCACCGTCCCAGTCACATCCATAATCATAATCAGAACAGCTATTTCAGTACTTTGGTTGTTGGATAAAAATATTAACCTGCACACACATGGTTATTTGGTACTCTCATTTTATATGCATCATGCTGTTACCAAACCGCAGAAAATGAGCTAAAAAATAATTAATAAACTATGCAATAACAATACAGTTTTTGATTATTGTAACTGAATATTGAATTTGTAGGACATGGTTGAAGGATGTGAAGAGGACATGGTACCAAGAGATACTTCAAACGGAGAGCAGTTTGAAACCATCTACTGTGATTCTACATTCAATGATAATGAGGTTCGTTTGATTGGCTTTCTTTACTTACTGAACATATACTTTACTTAGCCATTAATATATCTGTCTCCAGTTTGAAACCATCTACTGTGATTCTACATTCAATGATAATGAGGTTCGTTTGATTGGCTTTCTTTACTTACTGAACATATACTTTACTTAGCCATTAATATATCTGTCTCCAGTTTGAAACCATCTACTGTGATTCTACATTCAATGATAATGAGGTTCGTTTGATTGGCTTTCTTTACTTACTGAACATATACTTTACTTAGCCATTAATATATCTGTCTCCAGTTTGAAACCATCTACTGTGATTCTACATTCAATGATAATGAGGTTCGTTTGATTGGCTTTCTTTACTTAGCCATTAATATATCTGTCTCCAGTTTTAATAGATATACAGTGAAACCACACACACTCCACAATTTGTGGACCCAGAGATTGTTCAAAGCTGACATGTTTCGTTGCAAATGCATCATTGTCGGAGCTTTACGTCAAAAACATTAAAATAATTTACACATACAGTATATACACACGACACGGGACTAGGCCTACTGACCGAGGTAAGCCTAAAAAGGGTTTTAATAAATGAATAAATACAGACTAATTTTTACATATAAATTTAACACCCACATGAGCATTTTTACAAATTAAGTATACAACCTTCAACAAAATTTTGAATATTCAACAATTAAAACTAATGATGTTCTGAAAAGAAAATGCTTTGTTTTGCATGCACCCTGTCAGCTGTTGACTGTCAAGTTACCGGGTTTTGAAAGTATTTGATTTTTGAAACACTGTGACGAGCATTGCCACTAATTCATTAAAACTATATTGCTGGGACTATTAAACACATAGCCATTTTTATACTACAATGCAAGTCATTTGTTAAAAACCCAAGTTAAAATAACTAGCCTATAAATAAATTTATTTAAGACTCATAGTGTAAATTGTTTTCAGGATTCCAATAACGTAATCTATGAAGATATTGAAGAAGATGATGTAAGTATTAATATCTAAATGTAATTACCAAACACAGAGTTTTTAACAGTTGTATGTAGGCTGTCCATAAATTAAGGTTGGACAAGCAAGCTCAAATCTGAGATCAACACTGTGCTATAGAGTTCATCCACTACTATTCTAGCTGGTTCCCTCCATGTGTGCGAAAGCGAATTGTCCAGGGGAAATCAACACTTTTGCTACTTATCAACCTTTTTTGAAACCTGTTGCAGTGGCGTACTGTCATAGTTGGGGCCCTGGGGCGGTCTAGATGAGGGGTCCCTCTTTACATATATAGGCTATTTATATGTATACAGTATATAAATATATATGTGAATTTAATAAATACCAAAGCACCCTGTTTAAAATCATCAGGGTACTATCGTACTTATTATTTCACGTATTTATTAAAAGATGTATTTTGTATGACTGAATAAATGAGCTTATACAGGTTCATGTAGGCTACTTCAACTATTTTGTATGTCATTTTTTTTATTTAAGAAAAATTTAAGGCTGCTAAATTAAATTTTCCTTTAAGCTTTTAACAGTTAATGTTTTTATGATTCGGAAATTCATAATGAGCACGAGCACTGGAGCACTCCAAGAAGTAACACAAATAAGGTTTTTTACTGTCACTCCTTTTAATATTTTTTAAATTTAGGAGATAATAAATTTGTATAAAAGACAGTATTATTATATTATCTTTCTATTATATATTATGCTTAGTACTATAAATGGTTCAAACGATTTCTGCAATAGCGACAAAAATGACTGATATTGTGCTCAAAACTACGAAATCGTGAGCGTCATCTGTGATTCCAGGGCCATCATCTTCGTCTCCCGCGGTCGCAAAGAAATAGTGGTTATCTTCCTAGATACACGTTGGAATAGCAAAACCTTTCGCAGTTGCGGGGATGTATTCTACGTCTCCTGCCTTTAAGACGAAATCGTTAACATCTCCCATGAACCCGGGGACCACATTATCGTCCCCCGTGATTGGGGCGATATCGTCAACACGAAACTGAATAGAAAATTAACGAAGTCGTCCTTTGGTCACAACAAATTCATAGTTGGGTGGTGTTGGTAAAGGTAAAATCGTGGGAGTCTTACGAAAAATAAAATTAATTAAGATAAATAAAATTGTGGGAGATCTTCTGTGAACGTATTATATGACTACGGTGAGATGAACATCTTGCCCCATCGCAAGGACATTACTGTCTATTACACTTGTGGCAAAATTCTGAACAACTTCCACTTTTGAAAGGACATTATCTTCGTCTTCCAATACCGCAGCGAAATCATGAATGTCTAGGAGTAGCACTTGAAAAGTACACATTAATTTATGGACAGCTCTCGTATGTGTAGTATCAACACATTATTGACAATTAAGATGAACTATGCATATTTTAGCTCAAGTATAAATTAAATATATATTTTTGACTGGAGTTAGATACCTTGTGTAGCTTTGTTACTACTGTGTAAGACCAACCTCTATAACAAGTATCCCTTAACTGCTAGATCATATTGATTAAATCCCATTTATATTTTTCCTGGGCAAAAGGCTTGATATTTGCCTTTATCTTCTAGATTAATTATTTTACAAACTCAATTTTAACCTACGGTACTCATTTTAACTGCGCTCTAAGCTGGATTCTACAACAAAACAATGTTTTTAGATTTCCACGGCTCCAAATTCATCAGTGGTGGATATGAATCCTCTAGCAGATGAAAGATGCTCCAGTCCCATCCAGGATGGTGAAGTATCCTGCCTGGAAGACTCTACCAAAAAAAATGCTGATAGCAAGTATTTGGTCATCTCAAAATCATTCCAAAAATTAATGAACAGCAAAGTTATAAGAAGGAGAACCGGCAATGAACTGACAACAAAGTACCAGTGCCCAATCTGTGATAGAAGACTCAGCCGTAAAAAGAATTTGGAGATTCATATCCAGAAACTGCACCCGTTTGGAGGTTAGTGTAAAACATATATAAATGGTAAAAAAACAGATGTTTTAAAATAAAGCGTTACTCATTATTGTTTGTTGTCAATAATAACTTTTATTACATAAACATGTTCGTAAACTCTTGCTATTTAAGAAATACACTACAGTAGAACCCCTGATATCCAGCCTTGGTTTTACCAGCCCTCTGTTTATCCGGCCCCTTTCAGGAAGCCAATATCAAAATGTTTTTCTCACAGCTGAGCTTACATACGTTTAGATGTAAGCCTTTGTGACTTGAGCGTTCTCATTATTTATCTGTTTGTTTATACATTTTACTGTTTTGCGATAATCAGTTGAGCTTGTAAGTCTAACCTCTGAACAGCTGGTTGATTATTTCCAAAGCGAGGTTAGTCCAATATATTAATTGTTGTTGTTGATAACCCTACTTATATAAAGTAACACAAATTTTATATCAAACTAATTTAATATTGTAATATCATAAAACTATCTTCATCTCAAGACAAACTGAATCAAAGCATAAATAAACAACAATAACAATAAAAAATAATTAATGAACATTTTATGTTAATTAATATATGAACATTACCAACATCTTCCTTTTTCCATAATGTTTGTAAGTTCTTAAAAAGTGTCTATTTCTAACGTAATCTTTTCCTTCCACGCGCACAATGTCCTTCCTCCTCCCTTCCTTTAGAACAACTTTACACTCAAGTTTGATATACTTGATCTGGTATAATCTTTCCTCTTGTCACATTTAAGTACATTCTTGAACTGGAGTTTCCAAACACTTTAGACTGACTGTTGAAAAGATTTGAATACTTTTATCTTCATGCGATTTATCCCCTGTAATGGGTGTTTGAGACAAAAAGTCTGTAATGAATATTGTTCTTCCTGGTATATATATTGTATTGAAATTAAAGTTCCACACAAGACAATTCTAATACCAGTAATACCTTACCTAAAAGTTCATTAGTAAAGGAAGGGATAACATTTGCTCAAACTACGCGGAATGGTAGTGAAGTTGGCCACTATAATCATCGTCATTTTAGTGATCGGAAGAGCAAGATGTCCTTGTCATTTTCAAGCTCTTCAATTTTTGCCTCAGCAAGGTTCACCTCAGCAAAGTTATCGTCTCTGAAGTCTTGGCATTTTAAGGAAGAGAATTTGTGCTTCATATCATGTAGTTCTTGCTTTAATTTATTATTTTCTAACTTTAAAACATGTCCAGCTTCCGCAGCAAGTGTAAGCGATGTCTAAAGATCATCAGGATTTTGTTCTCTTTTTTGTAAATCTTGTACTTTATTTAGGACACCTCTGAGCTGCTGATTTTCTAGTGGAAGGACTTAACTGTCTACTGTTGTGTTTCTGTCAGGGTTCAAGCATTTCGTGTTTGGGAAGGCATTTTCTGCTTCCTTTAAGGCTTTGTTGAACACTTTATTTTTAAAATTGTCTATTTTTGGTTTCCGATAGAGATCTTTACTTTGTTCATAACAATACATATCAGTTTCTCGAACGACAGCAGTGTTCTTGTCACAAAAAAAATTACCTTTTATTTTGAGATGCAATTTTTGTCATTTGTACAAATTTCAGTAATTTTAGCTGGCCAGTGTGGGTACCCTTTTAATTTTACAAACACAATTTGTCCGGTGATAAGGCTAGTTTTGTTGCTTATTTCCATAATTACTGATTCAGTTTTGAAAAGTTTGGCTGGTTCTTTATGTCAGTGATCTTGAAGTTTAGTGTAAAATTATATCAGTTTTTAAAAGTTTGGCTGGTTCTTTATGTTAGGGATCTTGAAGTTCAGGTGTAAAATTGTATCAGTTTTGAAAAGTTTGGCTGGTTCTTTATGTCAGGAATCTTGAGGTTCATGTGTAAAATTATATCAGTTTTGAAAAGTTTGGCTGGTTCTTTATGTCAGTGATCTTGAAGTTTAGTGTAAAATTATATCAGTTTTTAAAAGTTTGGCTGGTTCTTTATATCAGGGGTCTTGAAGTTCAAGTGTAAAAATGTTATTTGATTGATAGTTGGAAATGATCATGGTTTCGCTGTCACAGCAAGATATGGGAACAAATATTACGGTGATCTCAGGAACGGTCACGGTATCGCCAAAACCACCAGATATAACTTGAATCATCTCTATTGCCTTTAAGAATCTGTAAATAGTATGAATACGATTTGTATCAAACCATAATACAACATGATGTTGATTTGTTAAACTTATACGGTTATGTATAGCAATTAAATATAGCTATTTCTTTTTCAGAAATGTCAGAATACCAGAAGAAAAAGAAGGAAGGCATTTTGACAAAATCAAAAGAATCACCCATCAATGGGTTCAAAAAGCCACCACCACCTCTAAGGCCCATAGTACCTCAATGTTTGATCAGCCCTTCATTTCCTGTCATTCCCTTGAAAACTCAAAACTCACCAGCAACAACCTCAGCACCTGAGGGAGTTCTTACAGCTTCCATTCCCATCCTCTCATTTGCTTCGCAGAGTCCTCTTGTGTCATCATCGGTGGCAACGACCCCATCGACTATTGTTGCCCCGTTGGTCACGTCCCATTCTCTAGTCACCCCCTCGGCTCTTCTAACATCACCCAACCTCACATCGTCCTCCGCAGGGACTACTTTGATGACAACGACGTCTGTAGTCACTACTCCTTGCCCTCTCGACCCAAGTCCTGCCGGAGGCGAAATGAGGAAGCAACAATTTTTACTCCTTCTCCCAAAACCGGCAGTGATACCTTCTCCACCGCCCTTGAATAAGGCAGAACCACCCAAATCTTCTAAGCCTGCCAGCCCTACAAAACTATCGATACCTAGTGACAACATGTACTCCGTCAACCTTGGCGAACTGTCGTTGGAGAGAAGGATCAAGTTGAAGGAGAAACTGCGGGAGCTGGTCAACGCTGTTGTGAAGAAAAACTTGAACCCGGAAAGAATAATAATCGCATATGATAGAACGTAAAGTGTTCAAGTAAATATTACTAGTTAAAACAAATTTATGATCTCTGTTAATAGTCTAGGGTTTATCTCTGCCAAATACAGTAGTTAAAATTCTTTTCATAACTTTATGGATCTATTTTAATTTCAAATCTAATTTTGTTATGTTCTAGTTCCTTTCATAAAAGATATACTAAACTATATGAAATAACACCAGATTAACAAATTAAAATGGTTTTTAAAATTGTAGAATATTAGTTTTTATTTGCTGTTAGTGTTACCAATACTTTTTTGGTTTTTAAAATTGGTTTTCATACAATTTTAATGATTTTTAATCGTTTATTTTTATTTAAATGACTGGTTATGAATAAGAATATTTTTGTATGTTAATGCTAGTTAAATATACAAGTACCTGTTTGCGATAATTGAACTACACTTTAATCTGATAGTAATTTAATTATGTAATACACACATGTAACAAACATGTAAACATGTAAATAAAATTATTACATTTTGGAAATAGTTGGTTTTTTCCTTATACTGTAATCTCTGTGAGTAATTTCTGTGTATCTAATTAGGGATTAATATTATTATTTCTTTAGCTCTATAGCCCTATAGGACCATTTATTAAAAGACCAATAATAACTAAATTTCACTTCAAACGATTAAAAGCTACTGATCGACTTGTCTCAGAATTGCAGCAACCTTTTTACTGTCAAGCAACCACAATAACAAAAAACATAATGACAAAAATACTTCATATACAGTAGAACCTTGATAAGAAGACCCTCGATAACAAGTCAGCCTTGATAACAAGGGTAATTTTCAAATCCCCTTGATTTTATTTTACCCCTTATCATATGTTATGAAAAACCTCAATAAGAAGTCAACCTTGGTTACAAGTCTGATTTAATAATCCCCATGAGAGTCTTGTTATCAAGGTTCTACTGTATAATAGTGATAGGAAACATCCACAATACTTCAAGCACAATTTTAATATATTTTTTTTAATTTAGAAACATTTTTGACAAATACTATTCTTATTCTTAAACAGTCTTATAACTTGATTGAAAGGGTAGGTGAGTAAAAAAGCTCCATATGACTAACCACCACTTTCCAAGTTCCTGCTAGACAAATCAATTAAATAGTCAATGCAATTATGTAACAGTGATAAGATAAGATCCTCTCTGTTATTTGTCAGTCAGGTCAAAGGTCGCTTTTGGCAGACAGTGACCTGATGGTAGTACTTTTTTAGTAGTCAATGTTTTTTCAACTTGAGTAGCCTACCTTATCTAAAGTCAAGTGATCAATAAAATTGTTTTGCAATATCTATTTATTATGATGAATAAAGGACAGTATAAACCCTATGAGCTGTAATGGGTTCAGAGAGGTTTGGCAACATATGACAGCAGTTTGCGGCTCTTTTAGTGTATCACTTTAATTTGTTCTTTTACCGTCAATTACTTCAAGGCAAACTTGCATTTTTATCCAACCTTCAACCTTTGGGTTCCATGAGCAACCTCTTATATGAATTCAAGGGATAGCCACATTTGCAACCCCAACACTCTTTTGTTACAAACCTCCTTTAGCTACCGGTACCCTCTAAATTTACCAATGATTATGAGCAGGTCTGGATTGGTTATGTCCTCGAGCGAATACCACCATATAGGGAATATTAGCGAATTTCCCATATAGGGAATAAGCTATTATCGTAGGTTTCATGATAAGACCTAGACCCAAAACTGATTTAATTTTTCGTTTTGAGGTTCCCAGAGGCCAAAAACACCCTCCGTTCAAATTCACATATGTATATATATGTTCTTATATATATATATATATATGATTTTTCAGTGTGGCAGATTGCAACTAAATGTAACATTGACATTGGATACTTTAAGTAGGCATTTAATATATGAGAATCAGATGAAACATAGACTTTGGTTCCTCCAAGTAGACAATTCACTTACGTGAACCAGACTTATAATTGATTTTGAATACTGCAAATAGACATTCCATTTATGTGAACCAAATATACCATTGACATTGGATACTGCAAGTATTTAATCTCATTTACTAGGAACATATGTAGCATTGACTTTAGAAAAGTACGGCATTGGACTAATATGCTAGCTCCGCTCAATATTGCAAGCAGACAACTGCATTGTACTCCTAGTATATATATATGCTTATGTCCGTTAGTGCGATAACTCAAGTTTAAAAATCATAATGTTTGTATTAACACCTAACTGAATTTGTTCTTCTTTATAAAAAGCCCAAATATTTCAAAAACTCGTTTTTAGCACCCAATCAGCTACAAAAAAAAAAAAAATAATAATAATAATAAAACACTCTCCCTTTACTGGATTTAGCTGAGGGCCTCGAATGGTCCCATGTCAGGGCCTGATTATAAGGAAAAAGGAGTAGAACATTTTGTTGGTAAATTTTGATGGAAACACCTATCAAATCTTGCATTGGCACTAAAGTCATGAAAAAGAATCATTTATCACACTTTATTGCAAGGTAGAAACCATTATACGCACTGATAGTTTTTCAATTTCAGTGTCACTTTATAATTAAAAAGCTTAATTGAGAAGATAAATTTTTTTGAGAAATAACTGTCCAAGCGCCTTTAAATTATAATACATCTGCCAGGAATAAAATCCGTCCCTTCACACCAAAGTCAGATTCGCTAATATTCTTACTGTTTAAAACATTTAAAGGTATTGCAGAATCAGACTGTTCCCACAGCCTCGTTATGATATCTTAACTTACATATGTTAGCAAACATTGTTTATCAATTTGAGATTTCTAGCCTCATTGTTTCGCTGGAGATCGGAGATGTCTAAATCTGAAACTAAATAAATATTTATTTAATCCCTCACGTTTCACTGCATATGCTTGTGCAAAAGATAAAGGTTGTGTCCTGATTTAACATTGTTGACAAAACCATTGTTGTTTTTGTGATAGTTGAAAATAGTTATTTCTTTTGAAAGAAACTGACTTGCTCACTATCTGTTTACAATCACATGGTTTATAATTAATTAAATCATGATGTGTATGTTTGTTTTATCTTGAAAAATTGAAAGCTTAAAATCAATTAATCTATTATATTTTCTTTCCTAATACGAAAGGTCATGGTGCCCAGGTACGTTTAATTTTGTGTAAACTCTGAAAATTAATCTAAAATGGATGTAAAAGTACAAATATCAAAGCTTGATGGGTCTCAGTCCTGGCGTAGGTGAAAGAGGCAAATGGAATTGATGTTGAAGCCTCATCCCTCATGGGGTCCTAGACATTGCAAAGGGCTAAAGAACTTTGCCTAGAATCACTGTGAACAATGCGACTGGTCCCTGATGAAAAATTAAAAAAAGAACAGGCACACAATGAGGCAGTAAAGAGCGTATGAGAAAGACAAACCAACAATTTTTATTGATAATTCCCTAATACAAATCAATTAATATTGGTAAGACAAATTATATGTATAAAATAATAAAATGAAGGCTCTATAGAGCAATGGGGGAATTGCGGCACCATCTTTAAACTGCTGAATGCTTAGAATTTTATGTCTTATTCCTCGAAGCCTAAGCGAAACTGCTCGGATGATGGAAAGCTGGCTTTGGACCCTTAACCATTGAATCATTTGGGAGTATGGTTTTCTCCATTTTACAGCAAGGGCCTCGCTTGTTCTCCTCTGAAATGCTTTCATATTCTTTGTGGGGGACTCCCTCCGTGGAACATATTAATGGTTTGAAGCTTCCTCTGATGTCTTCGGCTGCTTTGTCATATTTATTGTGTTTCTGGAACGGCATGGTTTCAAGATATTGTTCCCCATTCGTAAGAAGGAGCGTCAGCATTAACAATGCGATTATCGAAAAACGCTTCTATCAGCCTCCCAAATACCATTAACTTTAAAGTCAGCTTTTAAAGCAGGCACATTGTTTGCGGGATCAGCTTCTCTCATAATAGGCTCGACTTCAACCCTTTCCAGGCCATATTTGCTATCGCAGCACAGTGGTCTCGATGTTGATCATGCCCATGTTTGATCAATCCTCCTTTTTTTAAATTTAAAGCATGGGTAAGATTCATAGGTAGATCACAGCCATCACATAGTACTAATAAATTTCTTAGTGAGCGGCCATAGCGAATTGACAAAGCATCTCTGAATTGATCCGGGGACAAATCTGTATCATCAGATGCACATGGTGTCACAGTTAACCATTGGCTAGTATTCCCTGCTACAATTCTAATTATTGTCTTCTTTTGAGTTTCAGGAAGTAGTTGCATAATTTGTTCATTATTTGCTTTAGCCAAAGTGTCTTTCTCTAGTTTTCTCCTTTTTTTTACAGCTTGTAGAGTTGATACATGATCATTAATCTTTAATGGTTCTCATTTTCAATGGCTAATATTAATTATTCTGTACATTGTTTTGAAGTTTCAAAAGAAATACCATCAATCTTGGTCGGGTCCTGAATATTTAAGCCTCCAAGACGAATAGGGAGAGAGAACAAGTCATGTTCAAGTTCAGAAATCTCTTGTTCGAAAACATTGGGAGTGAAATGGCGATGTACCGTATGACAGTTAGTTCTTAAATCTTCGTATTCTTCACTAAATCCCTCTGTTACTCTTTGGAGAAATGCCCATTCATTTTGTAATGACTTTGTAAAGGCAGTATACACTGCTTGAGGACTGTTATGTGATTGATCTTTGGTTGCTTTGTTACTGTTAATGCATGCACAACAATTTAATTTCACTGTATTGGTTAGAATGAATGAATGAATAAATAAATAAAGAAATTCATTTGAAAATGTCAACTCCTTTTATGCCATCCAAAACTAGTTGCCATTACAGCAACCAAATGATTACTTTGTGAGGCTATTTCAACCATTCAAGTATAAAACAAAAGGTTGTTCGGCTCTTTTGAAATTAATTATTGTAGTGTGTTTAGTATTTTGTAATTTCTAGAAACTAAACAAAACTAACAAAGTTATTTCAAACTATTGCTTTTTCTCTCTTATACAAATCAAAGTGTAAAGTGCCACTGTAAAGGTTAAACATAAAGATTCCCAGAAGTCTACTTGCAGTATCCAGAGTCAATGATCATATACATTATTGATTGGACAAGCTGATTTTATCATTTCAGTTCAGCATTGGAGTAAGCTAAAGCTATGCAAAAGATATTGTTTTGTCAAATAAGTTAAGAATATTTAGTGGTCTGTCCTTTCCAAACAATTTATTCTTCCTTCCAAATATGTTTATGTTTGTGCTTTCAGCTTTGTTTTACTTAGATGTACCCTGACTCATTTCCAAAGAATTGGATTATGGAATTTTCCTCTTAGGTTAAGTTACTTGAAACATCCTGGTATTAAACCCTTGACTTATACTTCAAAGTACATATCATAATATGTGTATGGACCAGCTGCTTGTTACTGGAAGATTAAATTATTTAATAAGACTATCACTTGCTGA